GCACTCAAACAGAGAGAAAGCTGTACAGACAGGAATGTATGGATGAGAAGGGCATAGGGAGGGGGTGGTCACAGTGGGGAAAGGGGAGTAGAGTGATTTACAGTTGGGGAGGGTAATCAGGGCTGTGAAATCAGATATGCATGACATGTTGAATGAAAAACAAGTTTGCTATGTAAATTTGTACCCAAAGTACAAATAGAAATTTTTAAAAATAAATAAATAATAAAACAGAGGCCTTTTTTCAGCATTGCCACTACTTACCAATGTGAAGTACTATGACCAGGGACAATCATTACATCTCTGTTGAATTTTTTTGGTCCCCTTTTAAATTATTCTGCTGTTGTTTTTGTTGTTAGGTGTCATCGAGTTGGCTCTGACTCATAGCGACAATAGAACAAAACACTGCCTGGTCCTGCACCAGCCTTACAATCCTTGTTGTACCGGAGCCCATCATTGCAGCCACTGTGTTAATCCATCTCGTTGAGGGTCTTGCCTTTTTCACTGACCCTCCACTTTATGAAGCATGATATCCTACTCCAGAGAATGGTCCCTTCTGACAACATGACTAAAGTAGGTGGGACAAAGTTTGGTCATTCTTGCTTCCAAGGAGCATTCTGGTTGCACGTCTCCCAGGACAGATCTGTTAGTTCTTCTGGAAGTCCATGGTATTTTCTTCATGGGTTACCCTTTAGGCCTATAAATGAACTCACTAACAGCAGAAAAACCTACACACAGAAGACCTACCCCAGGTCTTCACCAACACCACAATTTAAAACCATCAACTCTTCTTCAGTTTTCTTCATTCATTCTTCAGCTTTCACATGAATATTAGGCAATGGAAAATACATGGCTTGGGTTAGGCACGCACCTTAGTATAAAGAGAAATCTTTGCTCTTTAGCACTTTAAAGAGGTCTTTTGCAGCCGACTTGCCCAGTCCAATACATCGTCTGATTTCTTGACTGATGCTTCCATTGGTCTTGATTGTGGAACCAAGTAATATGAAATCTTTGACAACTTCAATCCTTTCTCCATTTATCATGATGCTGCTTATTGATCCAGTTGTGAGGATTTTCATTTCTTTATTCTGAGATGTAATCCATACTGCAGACTGTAGTCTTTAATCTTCAACAGTAATTGCTTCAAGTCATCTTCACTTTCAGCAAGCAAGTGAGTTTTCCTCCAATCTTGATGCCATGGTCTTCAAATAGTTCAGCTTTTTTGATTATTTGCTCACCATACAGATTGGATGCTGTTGTTGTTATGTGCCATCAAGTCGAATCTAATTGGATAAGTATGGTGAAAAGATAGAACCATGATACACTCCATTCCTGATTATAAATCATGCAGTATCCCCTTGTTCTGTTAAAACAATAGCCTCCTGGTCAATGTGCAGGTTCCTCATGAGTGCAAGTAAGTGTTCCAGAATTTTCATTCTTCTCACTACTATCCATAATTTTTTATGACCCACACAGTCAAACGCTTTTGCATAGTCAATAAAACACAAGTAAACATCTTGTAATCTCTGCGTCCAGCCAAGACCCATCTGACATCAGCAATGATATCCCTCATTGTATGTCCTCTTCTGAATCCAGCTTACAGTTCTATAAGTTCCCTGCCAAAATACTGCAGCACCATTTTTTGCATTCTCTTCAGCAGGATTTTACTTGCCTGTGATACTGTCTGATAATTTCCACATTCTGTTACATCACCTTCTTAGGGAATAGGTACAAATGTGGATCTCTTCCCTTCATTTGGCCAGGTAGCTGTCTTCCAAATTTCTTGGCATAGACGAGTAAGTGCCTCCAGCACATCATCCCTTTGTTGAAACATCTCAATGGGTATTCCTTCAATTCCTGGAGCCTTTTTTTTTTTTTTTTTTCTTTTTTTGCCAATTCCTTCAGTGCAGCCTAAACTTCTTCCTTCAATACCATTGGTTCTTGTTCATATGCCACCTGAAATAGATGAACATGAACCAATTTTTTTTTTGGTACAGTTACTCTGTGTATTCCTTCCATCTTCTTTTGATGTTTCCTGCATCACTCAATATTTTGCCCATAGAATCCTTCAACATTGCTAATCGAGGCTTGAATTTTTTCTTCAGTTCTTTCAGTTTGAGAAATGTCAAGCATGTTCTTCCCTTTTGGTTCTATAACTCTAAGTCTTTGCACATTTCATTATAATAATTGACTTTGTCTTCTTGAACTGCTCTTTGAAATCTTCTGTTCAGCTCTTTTATTTTTTTTAAATTGTGCTTTGGGTGCAAATTTACACAGCAGAATTTGTTTTACATTCAACAGTTTGTGTGCCTTTGGTTTCACTCCCTGATTACCATCCCCAATCCTCACCCACACTCCTCCTCCTCTCCCTTCCCAGGGAACCCCTCCATCCCTGTGCCCTTAATTATGCACTCCTGTCTGTCCAGCTTTACCTCCATATGAATGCTGCCTGTCCAGTGCCCATGGCTGACTTCTCAAAGGGGTGTATCTTCATAGAGTAGGTGGGTTCATTGCCCTGGATTGGGTGTTCTGCACATAAGTCTTACTACTGTTGGGCTGAGAGCCAGCCCTTGGGAGTTAGTCTTATCCCAGGCCTGCAGTGTATCCCAGGGCCATAGTATTGGGGGTTCCACTAGACTCTATGCAACCAGTAATTCTGGTCATTATTGTGTATTTGGATTTCATTCCACATTCTTCCTCCCGTTGTATCCAGGATCTCCAGTTATGATCCCTCCCTGAGTGGCTGACATTGATAGTCAGGCACCATCTAGTTCTTCTAGTCTTGAGGCCCATCATATTCTAGGGCTGATTGTTTCAAAATGCCTTTGTTTTTCTTTACTCTTCTTCACTTCAGATGAGAGGAGACCATTAGCTGCATCTCAGATGGCCACTCGAAAGCTTTTAAGACCCCAGTCGCTACTCACCAAAGTAGGTTGTAGAACAAGATTACTATTATGTTATGCCAATTGTCAGCTCTTTCATTTTGCCATTTCTTCCATTGGCTTTAGCTACTAGTACTCCATCTAAGAGCAAGTATCAGAGTCTCTTCTGACATCCATTTTGGTCTTTTCTTCCTTTCCTGTTTTTTTTAACAATCTTTTGCTTTCTTCCTGGATGATGTTCTTAATATCATTCCACAACTCACCTTCTTTTTTGGTGATTGGTATTAAGTGCATCAAATCTATTCTTCAGATGTTCTCTAAATTCAGGTGGGATATAATCAAGGTCATGTTTGGCTCCTGTGAACTTATTTTAATTGCCTTTAGCTTCAACTTGAACTTGCAAATGAACAGTTGATGGTCTGTTCCACTGTCAGCTCCCGGCCTTGTTTTGGCTGAAGATACTGAGCTTCTTCATCATCTCTTTCCACAGATGTAGTTGATCTGATTCTTGTGTATTCCATCTGGTGAGGTCTACATGTATAGCCACTATTTATGTTGTTGAAAAAAGGTATTTGCAATGAATAAGTTGTTAGTCTTGCAAAATTCTATCATGCAGTCTCTGGCATCATTTCTATCACCACAGGCGTATTTTCCAACTACTGGTGATTCTTCTTTGTTTCCAACTTTTGCATTCCAATCACCAATAATAATCAACACATCTTGATACATGTTTGGTCAATTTCAGACTGCAGATGTTGGTGAAATTCTTTAATTTCCTCATCTTTGGCTTTGGTAGTTGGTGCATAAATTTGAATAATAGTAGTATTAACTTGTCTTCCTTGTAGGTGTATGGATATTATCCTATCACTGACAGCACTGTATTTCAAGATAGATCTTAAAACACTTCTGTGATGATCAATGCCACACCATTCCTCTTCAATTTGTCATTCCCAGCATAGTAAATGGTATGGTTGTCTGATTCAAAATGGCCAAAACCAGTCCATTTCAGGTCATTAATGCCTAGGATATTGATCTTTATGCATTCCACTTCATTTTTGACAACTTCTAATTTTCCTAGATTCATACTTCATACATTCCATGTTCTGATTATTAATGGATGTTTACAGGTGCTTCTTCCCATTTAGAATTGTGCCTTATCAGCAAATGGAGGTCCTGTCAGCTTTACTCCATCTACGTCATTAAGGTTGATCTACTTTGAGGAGGCAGCTCTTCCCTAACATATTTTGAGTGCCTTCCAACCCAAGGAGTCATCTTCCATCACTATATAAGACAATGTCTCAGGGCTATTCCAGTAATATATCCAACAGTGTTTCACTGCTATTCATAAGGTTTTCACTGGCCAGTTCTTTGAGAAGTGGATAGCCCCTTCCTTCTTCCCAGTCTGTCTTAGTCTGGATGCTCTGCTGAAACCTGTCCACCATGGGTGACCCTGTTGGTATTTGAAATACTAATGGCATAGCGTTCAGCCTCACAGCAACATGCAAGCCACCACAGTATGACAAATTGACAGGTACGTGGTGGGCTGTCGTTGTTAGCTGCCATCAAATATCCCATGACTCAATGACCCCATGTACAACAGAATGATGGTGCCTAGTCCTGCACAATCCCATGATTAGTTGTAGATGGGACAGCTGTTATCCATAGGGTCTTCAATGGCTGGTTTTCAACCATTCTATGTATTCAGTCTGCAAGCTCCACTGAGATCTATTCAACATCACAGTAACTTACTTTATTAAAACACTTATGAAGGCTTTTACAACTAGCATCCATTGATATAATAGTTGTCAATCCCACAGAAAAATCAATTGCTAAAAATATAGGAACAGCAATTACCCAACAATATGGCCTTACCAAAATACAGCCTTAAAATGATTCAAATAAAACTCCTTTTTCAGAAGGAAAATTTGGGGGTGAAAAATTAAACACTCAGGCAATTATGGTATCTTCAATCAGAGATAAGCCCAATTTTCCCTTGGGAAGAGAAAAGGTCAGAAAGTCTTCATATGTTTTTTAATAACACCAAAAAAAAAAAAAAAAGACCTCAATAAAAGGGACCTTCTGTTTACTTTTAATTAGTTATAATCAGTACAGCAAACATACCTAAATCCACAAGGATAGCGTGCTGCTGAGCAGTGAGCTGCTTTAAAAGTTCTTTATATGAAGTGTCAGGAGGCTGTTGTTTATTAGGTAATCTGTGTCTTAGACGATATTGTAAAGCTAGGAATTGCCAAATTTCTCCTCGTCGACTTTTGGGAACTCCTACAATTGAAGAGATAAATAAGCAAGAACTTAAATTCTAAAATTAAATTTGTAAAACCACAGTTGATAAACTATGTAATGCTTAAACATGGGCAGCTGTACCATACTTTATGCCAACCTAAGTCCACATGGTATAATGTATTGACAGAAGTAAATTTTGATAAGTTTAATTATGTAGCTGCCAATATCTTTCTAAAGAACTTGTAGAATAAAAACAGTAATAATGACAATATTAACAACCTCAGCTAGGATTTTTTTAGTATTGCTATGAATTAAGTCATGTTCCCTAAAAAGTAATGTTGAAGTGTTAACACTTGTCCCTATGAATATGACCCTGTTTGGAAATAGGGGTTTTCTTTTGGTATGTTATTGAAGTACCAGAGTACAGTGGGCCCTAAACCTAATCCTTTCTGAGTGGTATCTATCCATAAGCCCAGAAACATAAAAAAACACCCAGGGCTACCAACATGGAAGGGCCTTTCCCTACAGATGATGCCTATATTTGGACTTCTCCCTCCAAAACTGTGAGATAATAAATTCCTATTTTTTAAAGCCACCAACTTGTGATATTTTTTGCTATGGCAACACTAAGCAACTACGAAAGCACCTAACATTTATTGAGTGTACTGTGGTGCTAAGCATTGTATGTGTGATCAGACAACAACTCTATGAGTAGGTAATTACGATTATCTCCACTTTACAGATGGTGAAGCTTAGGCATAAAGAGGTTAAGTAACTTGCCCCAAAAGTGGCATTTTAAGATTGGAACTCAGGCACTCTGGTTTCAAAGTCCAAACCATGAAATGCCCAAATGTATAACTGACTATTTTTATATTTTATTTGGTTTTAAGCCACTAACAAAAGCTAGCTTTCTTTTTAAATATTTATAACCAACAAATAACTTTTAAAAACAGAAGTAAATAGCACTCTTAATTGTTCCTAAAAAAATAAAAAAGACAAATACAAAATGAAGGCAAAACTGGAGTGCTATAGAACATTATTCTGCTTTTAAAAAGAAAATACTTAGCATTTATAAGGAAACTTTAACACTACTATGCTTGAAATGCAAAGGGTATTATAAGCAGTTAAGAGTATGCTAAAACTATGATTTTTATTCCAAGGGACAGAATTCAATTCTATACAGTATGAGTCAGGGCTGACTCGACGGCACATAACAACAACAGTACAGGCAGTCTTATTTCATTCAATAAATGTTTCCAGTTCATATAGACTGGATCTGTTAAGAGGTTCCTGAACTCCAGCTGGATAAAGGAAGTAAAGTTTAATAGAACAAATTTCTTTGAACTGCAATGCCACCATTTGCATAAAATGGAAGTAGTATTGTTCAAAAGGTAAAACTCAGCCCCTCTGACATTATTTAGTAGGCCCTCCATGACACACCTCCAAACAATTTTTGGAACCACATTACCTACCGTTCCCTGCCATATAGCAGAAGCTGAAGGTACTTTTCACACCTCTGTGGTCTTGCTCCTACTATTGCCTTTATGGAGTTCCAAGCCCCTCCATTTGGTTGCTGTCTTGGTTCTCTAGTGCTACTATAACAGATATACCACAGCAGGTGGCTTAACAAACAGGAATTTATTCTCTTACAGTTTAGGAGACTAGAAGTCCAATTCAGTGTGCCACCTCTAGGAACTGTGTGAAGGAACCTCAACCTTGGGCATCAGTTTTGCCTCTTATTCCAGCCTCACTGGAGCTACAGGTATCTCCTAACTCAGATAGCTCCTGACTGACTAGAGGCTGACTAACCTGAGGTTGGCAGGTAAAATGGCACAATCCGAAGATCAGTAAGCAATATGGCAGGCCTCTGGTTCAAGCCCAGGAACCAGAGATGAAGACTCAGCCAAATGCAGGATCCAGATGTGCCAAAAAGCCAGAGACTGCTCTCAAAGCATCTCCTTGTATACTGGAAGCAGGCCACAACCCAAAGGCAACTACTTAGCTGCTCACAGCAGATTCCACCATGGCCGTGATTACAATTTCATCATGGTAAATAACTACATTCAGCTACCCAGCCACTCAAAATCACAACCCAGTCAAGGTGACACACAGCCTTAACTATCATAGTTACCAAGTCTATTTTTATTTATGGATAAACTCAAATGTCTCCTCTTCTACTCAAGCTCTCCTTAACATCTCTAGAAAGAGTAATCACTCCTTTTCACATACTGTTTGATTTATACTTTAACATTCCTAGACTGGAATATCATTAGTTCTCTACTGTATATTTGTCTCTCTCCCCACTTAGATGGTGAGCTCCTTGAGAGTTCTTATTGCTGGGTGCAATAGAGTTGATTTTGGATTCATGGCAACCCCATATGACAGAACAGAACTGCTTCCCATAGGGTATTCTAGGCTGTAATCCTTACAGGCCACCACTTGTCTGTCAGTTTGTTGTACTGTGAGGCTGAAGACTATGCCACTAGTATTTCAAACACCAACAGGGTCACCGATGGTGGACAGGTTTCAGCAGAGCTTTCAGACTCAGACAGACTGGGAAAAAGGATGGAGGCATCCACTTGTGAAAAAATTAGCCAGTGAAATCCTTATGAAGAGTAGTGAAATGCTGTCTGATATATTACTGGGAAAATTTACATACAGCCTTGAAACATCATCTGATATAGTGCCAGAAAGTGAGCACCTCAGACTGGAAGGCAATCCAAATACCATTGGGGAAGAGCTACCTCCTCAAAGTAGAGTTGACTTTAATGATGTGAACAGAGTAAAACTTTTGGGACCTTCATTTGCTCATGGAACATGGCTCAAAATGGGAAGAAAAAGCTGCAAACATGCATTATTAATCAGAATGTGGAATGTACAAAGTATGAATCTAGGAAAACAAGGAGTTATAAAAAATGAAATGGAATGCACAAAGATTGATATCCTAGGCAATAGTGAGCTGAAATGGATTGGTTTTGGCCATGTTGAATCAGGCAATATATGCTCTACTATTCCAGGAACGACAAATTGAAGAGGAATGATGTCACATTCATTGTCACAAAAAATATTTCAAAAAAGAAATATCACCTACAATGGACAAATAGGCTGAGTTATGATTACTTAGCATAAACCATGCAGGCAAGAAGGCAATGGGACGGTACATGTAAAACACTGAAGGAAAAGACTTCCAAGCAAAAATCCTGTATCCAGCCAAACGGTCCATCAAATATGAGGGTGAAATCAAGACATTATCAGACAGAAATTAAAAGATTTTGTGAAAACCAGACCAACCCTACAAAAATGCTAAAGGAAGTCCTTGCAATAGAGAACTCACAACAGAGAACAACAAAATCAGGGCACGTGACATCAACACTAAAACCAAATCAGAAACAGATGCTCAAAATAAGCCCATAAAACATTGTACACACATTAAAAAAAAAAAAAAAAAAAAAAAAACCTAACTAAGAGAGTCAATCTACACACACCAGTAACAAAGCAAATAGAGGGAATAAAAGTCCTAGGTATAAAACTTCAAAATGGACAGGAAAAACCATCCTTATAGACCAGACTGTTTAAAAAATAGAGAGACAAGAATTCACTCCAAGGTGCCCCTAGCTGCCCTTCAGGTCTGGAATTGAACCCACACCTGTGGTTTCCAGCCAAACAAAGTATAGGCATGTGAGTTAAACATTTACCTCAAGTAGACACACGCCTTGGAGAGAACAATCACGGGAGAAGGAAGGGCTGCTT